CCGGCAGTGCAGAGATGTCACTGTGGTGGTCAGCAGCATCTGTAGTCCACATTTGGGCAGCCTTTCCCTCCCTGAGACAGCAGGACTACCCCAGAAAGGGGCATAGGTCCCAGACGAGGAGGCATTCTGGTTTGGCCAGTCGACATGCTTTTCCCAAGAGTCCTCCATGTACCCATTTTGACTCCTTGGACCAGAGCCGTGTTCCAGTCATGGCTCCCTTCTGCTTGCTTGCTCCATTTGGGAACAGACTTGCTTGCTTTCACAGTGCTTGGGTCTCAGTCACCACTGACATCAGGATTCTAAGCATTGTCAAGTGAGGCTATGCCGTCCAGTTCCTTTGCATCCTCCTCCCCCCTCCTTCCCCATCCCTCTTCAGGGACACCTCTCATGAGATGCTGCTCCTTGAGCAGGATTGCTCTCTACTGGCTTTGGGAGTAGTGGAGGGGGGTTCTGCCGGAACACCAGGGTCAGAACTTCTATTTCTGGTACTTTCTGGTGCCCAAATCCAAGGGAGGAGTAAGATTCTTGACCTTCATGTCCTCAACAGATTTATCAGATACGTGACCCATTCTCCCCTGTTGTCTTGGAACGACTGGTTGGTTGCCACTTTCATTCCTTTGATTTGTTATAGCGGAGCACCATTTCCAGTATGTGGTGCTTCCGTTTGGCCTGTTGGGTTTTTACCAAATGTATGGTCATGGTGATGGCATACCTCAGGAAGGAAGGAATCCACAACTTCCCATACCTGGATGACTGTTTACTGAGGGGCAGTGTCCAGAGAGGAAGTTCTTTTCCATGTCAACACTACATGCACTTGCTCGAACATCTGGGTCTCATCCTAAACGTCGGAAAGTCAACTTTGGTTCCCATTCAGAAAATTGAGTTAATTGTTGCCCTTATAGACTCTACGAGTTTGAGAGCACTTTTGCCAACTGACAGTTGCAAATGCAAGGTTGCGTCTTTGCCCCCTTCAAATGTGTCTCAGGATAGTTTACTGTCCAACTCTTCATTTGGACAGATTGGTCCATCTTCCTCCACTGGTCCTGGACATATCGCAGTGATGGACACTTCCGGAGAATGTTTGTCAGGGTGTTCCCTTTGTCTGGCCCTTACCAACCAGGTCTGTTGTCACCGATGCCTCCCTGATGGGCTCTGGAGCACATCTGGGGCTGCTGAAAAGTCAAGGTCAGAGATGCAGGCTCACTGCATATCAGTGTGCTGGCACTTCAGGCCATCTACAATGTCATGCTTTTCTGGACCATATTGGGCTCAGTGGTTCACATACTTACTGACAATACCACCACAATGTATATGTGAACAAGCAAGGGGGAGCACACTCCAGGATGCTGTGCCAGGAGGCAATCATATTGTGGTAGTTCTGCATTGTGGAGAGTATCATGCCGATAGCTGACCACTTACTTAGGATCCAGAATCACCTTACGGACTATCTCAGCAGGAATTTTTTCCTGAGTCATGAATGGTCTCTGAAGACAAGTGTCCTCTATGTCATCTTCTCAGCTTTGGGCATTCCGGCAATTGACTTATTCTGCTCTTGAGGGGACCTTAGTCTGGGTTCCCTGTCCTGTGCTTTCCGTCTCAGGTGGCAGTTGGCTCTCCTGTAAGCTTTCCCCCCAATTCCGATCATCCCACAGGTCATGCTCAATCTGAGGTTGGATCGGGCCATGCTCATTCTCATTGTCCCGGTGTGGCTGAGGCAGTGCTGGTTCTCCGACCTCCTCACTCTGTCAGTTCAGCCTCTTATATCCCTTCCTCTCCATCCTGACCTACTCACACAGAATCATGGTTGCCTCTTATATCCCGTGCTCAGCTTCCCGAATCTCATGATGTGACTGCTTCATGACTAAATGAGGAGGAAGTATGGTGTTTGGTGGCTGTTCAACAAGTCCTACTCAACAATAGAAAACCCTCTACCAGAATGGCCTATTGGGCAAAATGGAAGCAGTTTTCATTGTGTTCGCTGGCCTGTGGAGTTCAAGATGCCCTGAATAGAAGCCAGCTGGAATACTTGCTGCACCTTCTGTCATTCGGCCTTGTGTTTAGCTCATTGAGAGTATATCTGGCAGTGATATCCGCATTTCATCCTCTTATTAATTGAAGATCAGTCTTTTCCAATGCCAGGGTAGCAAGATTCTTAAAAGGATTTTGTCTCCATCCTCCAGTCTGAGAGTTGCTTCCTGTGGAATCTTAGCACGATCCTAGCAGCTTTAAAGAGGTTTCCATTTGAGCCCTTGGCATCTTGTCTGTTTCTGCTTTTGTGTCAGAAGACTTGGTTCCTGGTAGTGATAACATCCACAAGGAGGGTTGCAGGCACTGATGGCCTCCTTATACACAATTCTCTAAGGACAAAGTGATTTACTACCACACCTGAAATTTTTGTCTAAAGTGGTTTCTCAGTTTCATTTGAATCAGGCAGTATATTTACCTGTGTTCTTTCCAAAGCTGCATTCATCTCCATACATTAGATGTCAGGTGATGTCTAGCCTTCCATCTGGACAGGACTAAACCATTTCTTGATTCTCCTCACCTGTTTGTGTCATACGAAGTGGTCTCTTCACAGACAATCTCTAAATGGATAACATCCCGTATCAAGACTGCCTATAAAAAAGCTTTGGCTATGCCTCCTTAGATGGTGCAAGCTCATTTGATGAGAGCACAAGCAAAGTCAGTAGCATTCCTCAGTGCTGTCTCAATATTGGACATTTGCAGGGCTGCTATATGGTCATTCATATACCTATTTATGAACTAAACCTGTCACATTGTCTGAAGCGGCTCACCACTGTGAATTACTATCTCAAGGCAGACTGTCAGAAAACGAGGGCAGACACCCCAAACTGATTGTATGTTCTATAATTAGATTACACCAAGCCAGTAACAAATGTGAGCTCCTAGCTCACTATACCAGTCTTAACACCATGGAATCACAGACAAATCCCGTTACCCTCTCCAGCCTATCTTGCCAACCAGACAAATTGAACTTTGTGATAAAAGTTCAATTTAAACCTAAAATCATGCCACATCAGGTTTCTCCCAGTCCCAAGAGACCAGTTACTCACCGTAGATCAATTGGTACTCCAGACCTTACACCAAACACAATGGTCGCAGTCAGTTCTGTAGTAAACTGCCTATAGGTTTATTAGCTAAGAAAAAAGAATGAGTTATTGAGAGGCTAGGGCAGGTAAAATATAACAGGTACAGTTTGTAACTCCAAATGGTGGCAGTGATGTAATAGACACCAGTTTCCCAAAAGTCTTTCAGGGCTACCCAGAATAACTCTGGGGATCTCTGTTTTCTCGTTCAGTTTTTCTGCCATGTTAGAATCCAAACAGTCCAGAGATACAGGAGCCTTTCTTTGAATTCATGTTTATATCTTCTCACAGAAGACAAGCTGACAGTCTATCTACCCATGTGCGCCTTTCCTTTGATGATGATGGCTGAGGAATGCACTTAGATTTTTTGACCTCCAACCACATATATCAGTGGTCCCCAAACGTTTTATCTCGCGCCCCTCCCCCATGGAGCTGGAAGCGCAGACAGGGGTAAGGGGGCCGAGGCCGACGTAAGGGGGCCGAGGCCTGCAGCAGGGCTGGCGGATGGGACCCCTGGTGCGGGGCCAGGAGCGGAGCTGGGCGGAGCTCCCTCCCCACCCCCTGTGGGGGCTGGTCTGGGACCCAGCTGTGCCCCCTCCTCTAACATTACTCCGCGCCCCCTATGGGGGCACACCGCACAGATTGAAGATTTTTGATATACATAATGGCCACTTGCTTGAAATAAACTTTTTCTGTTAAAGCCCTTAAGTCCTTCATTAGCATTTCACAAGATTTCTTTGATGTGTAATGTAGTTGCAAGGGTATTTACCATGTAAATGTTTGCTATTACATTATGACAGGAATAGATAAGTGAAAACAATACAAGTAACTTTCTACTAGTTTCTATGAAGTTTAAACATCTGAATACAACACTTGATCTTAGCCAAAAGGCCGTACATTCAACAATTACTTCGATCTATCCTAATAGAAAGTAAATTGTCCTGAATACACTCTTACATCTAACAATTGCTTTTGGATACTGCTTGTGAGTCACCTAAATGGAATACATGGCTCCATGTACTCAAGGAAGAAGAAATTGTTAAGGATATGATGCAGATATGTATTCCACGACCCATCCTACGTCCCCTCTGCATTGGAGTCTAGTCTCTGGGTGTTCTGTGCAAAGGACCTGCGGGGGTCGAAGCAGCACCACCTCATATAGCCAGGGGAGGGATTATGGCCACAAGGCGCAAGCACCATCCCTTTGTGAGTACTGCTAGGCAAAATTCTCCAGCTCTGGTATGGTGGGCATGCGCACACCTAAGCGGAATACTGCTGCATCACATCTCGAACCACAGTAACAGTAAGGAATTGTTTGTTTTAAAAAATTGCCTAAAATAGGTGTAGCAGATCTCTTTTTCATTTATCTTTTAAGTGTTGATGCTGCTCTTGTTTAACAGTAGAACAAAAAACATTCTACTAGAACACTGCAAATACTGTGATCCTCCACATAACCACTTTTTACATATTATTTTAATGCCTTTTATTTAGTCTTCTTGTCTCTCTCTAATGCCCCTTTAAAAAGAATGGTTTATTGTGGTTTTAACTTTTGGAAACTTTACAGTATATCTGCATTAAACCTGAGTTAAATACCAAGCAGCGTGTAAAACAGGTTGATTCAGTAGATCTGACAAACTAGGTCCCAAGTTTTACTGCACTAAAATGCTACTATAAATCTCCAGGTATTTTGGTATGCAAAATTTTTCTAGGTAAGGGAATTTAAAAAGCTTCCAGGAATGACCTTTATGAGCTACATAATGCGTTTGATCTTTATTGGTTTTTAAACTAAATAATTTTAGTTTAAATGGACAAAAGTGTGCTCACTTTTATCAGACTTCAGCAGTTGTGACCAAGCAATATTGTATATTATTAAATACATTTTTCCTCTTTCAGGCATTAGATGGTCAAAATATTTATAATGCTTGCTGTACCCTACGGATTGATTTTTCCAAACTGGTGAATTTAAATGTGAAGTACAACAATGATAAAAGTAGGGACTATACTCGACCTGATCTTCCATCTGGTGATGGGCAACCAGCATTGGACCCAGCTATTGCTGCAGCATTTGCAAAGGAGACTTCACTTCTAGGTATGATTTTAATTTTCAAAACACTTCCCTCCCCATTCCCAATTAATCAAATGCAGGTTTTTTTAATTATTAATCATTGTAATTATTTAATGTTTATATTATGGTAGAGCCCAAAGATATGTTAGGGTTGTTTTCAGTTGCGGTGTGCAATTCTAGTAAGACAGACAGTTTCTGCCCCTGCAAGCTTACTGTATAAATAGATGAGAGAGAAACAAGAATAGGACAGAATATACACATTATCAAAAGTTTTTGTCTAGTTACTTACATTTTTTAAATTTCCCCAAACCATCCTTCCTTTTGTTCCGGTGTCAGTCAACTTCCTCCACCGTTGGTGACCTAAAGTATCTTCCTTTCATTCGGCCCACCTCATGGCGAAATCTTTGGGACTTGATATTGGTCTTGTTAAAATCAAGGAAGCTTCTCTATTGACTTCACAGGAACAGGATCTGTGTCCTTATTGGCACTGTAAGCAGGTCATGAAATTTTGGCTTGCTTTCATATATGCAGTGTCCATTTTCTTCAACTAAGAAAGATGCTTTGAGGAAGAAGTGTCATCCTATAATTTTTATAAAAAATACCAAAGAAATAAAAGAGCAGATGACAAAAAGGAGACCATGTATACAAAGAAATTCCATCTTAGCATTTTATTTTTCATAATTATTGAATTTTTTTCCTTTATATAGATCAGCACTCTTATCTCTAGCGCTTTGTTATGCAAGCTCAAGAGCTGATAAGATATTAGAACCCATTGGAAGAAGCAACTGAGATTCCCTGAGCAGTGCATAGATAAACATTCATAGCTTCTAACAGTCTTCTGGTTGTTGGTAGAGGCAGTGCATTCAGTACTTACTGTACTTATGCTTTGAGAGAGAAAAAATTTTAATACACTATCTTGTTTTTGTTTTATCATTTTAATTTGGCATCAACCCTGTAAATTTCATGATTATATAAACTAGTAAGCTTTAACCAGTTCCTGTTTTGGATGTCCTTTATATTTTGAAGTTTTAGGGTTCATTTTGTCAGCAGAGTTCAGATTGGATTTAGAGATTTTTTATAAGACCCAGTGAACGGTGTTGTGTTTATTATCTTACCCACTTCTTAGGGCCGGCTCTAGGCACCAGCGTTCCAAACTTGTGCTTGGGGCGGCACTTTTCAAGGGGCGGCACTCCGGCCCTTTGGCGGTGGCACTTTTCAAGGTGCGGCATTCTGTTTTTTTTCCCCTTTTTTATTTTTGCTTGGGGCAGCAAAAAACCTGGAGCCGGCCCTGCCACTTATTGTTTGTTTCCTTTGGAGTTGGGAAGCTAGAAGGAAGGATCAGCCATTCATGTAAAGTGCTGCATTCTTTTTTGGCAGCCAGCAAATAGCTTTTTGAAGTATTTGATTATGGGCAGAGCTGACAGCACTGTCTATTACTGAGGTTGCCCAACACTTCTGATTTCAGTTGCTCTGACCCTGTTGTCAGTTGTACATAACTTAGCCAAACTTCAGTGATTTGGGCTGATGATTTCCATGCCAGATATCTGCCTAATACTGAATGTTTTTTTTAAATATTCAGCCAAAATGGCTCAGCCATTTCTGAGAACAAGGCATGGGGAAAATACATTTGTTTTCCCCTTGTTAAAAAATTCTGGTGACCTTTTCTTTGAGAAAGTTTAGTGCTCCCCACCCCCACTTCAGAGCAGGGACTTGAAATTTGACAGGGGATGATCTTTGTGTCAGGGATGTGCCTTTTGCCATCACAGTGAAAATCCGCCCAAAGTTGCCAAGTTGTGAGCCTTAAAAAATCACAGTTCGCACATGTTCAGAGACTTCTTAGATTTTAGCAGTTAAAAAGAGTGTTCCTACATTGGGCTTGCTCCAGCCTGGGGCTGAGCAGGACTTCCACTGCAATTGCAGCTCTGGACTGCTGCAAACCATGCCAGGTCCTTGTCTGGACCCCTGAGCTGAAGGTAGGAAGCCTGTCTCTTCTGTGCTGTCAGCGTCTCCCTTCGTGGGTCCAGGCAGTGTGGAGTGAGGAGCTGCCTGATTCAGATGCCATGGAGAAAAGATCTGGACCTGTGAGGGGTGGGAGGAACATAGACTGGAACGAGGAACCTGCGGGCGAAAGTGCAGAAGACTGAATTTTGACAAGAGCCAATGGAGGGAGATTGGGACTGGGAACCAGTGGGGGTGGAGAATGTGAATGCGGGAGTGAGAGGAGAGAGATTGGATGAGGAGAAGCAGGGATCTGGGAATGACTGGGGAAGGAGACTGAGAACAAAGAGCTGAGGGTTGAAGTGGGAGAACTGGTAGTGGCTGTGTGGGGACTCTGGGACCAAGGCAGACTGGAAGGATGACACAAGGACTTGCTGGGCAACAAGACTGGGGCTAGGACAGTGGTTCTCAACCTTCAGCCTGTGCACCACTTGTGGCCCAATCAGCACACAGCTGCAGCCATGTGACATCCGCAGGGCCATATAGGTAGTATTGGATACAGCCATATAACACATTGTGGGCTGCGTAATGGTAAATAGGTTGAGAACCACTGGGCTAGAATTAGAAGCTTGATGAGTGGAGAAGGACTGGTTACGTGAGGAGAATGGGACTGGGATGGTGAGCCGGGGTAGGGAAGAGACACGACCAGGACAAGGCCAGAGTAGGGAGGATTGAGCAGAAGGATTCTCACTTCAGGGAATGGGCAGAAGACTGTACTCACTGGTGCACAATTTATTCCAGAACCTGTAATGGAACCTCAGACTGCTGAATCTCACTATTCCTTTGCTGTTAGCAAATATCTGTGATTAACCACTAGTAAAGTGTGTATCTCGTTCTCCTCTAGTGTTAATCCACATATCATATAGAGAAGGACAGCCTACTACTGCTATAAATTACTCTTTTTTGCTCAAGAGGCAAAGGTCTGCCCAACTCTGCTGATAACCCATTTGGATGTCATGTGATCAAATTTCTGTAACTTCAGTTTGCTCATTTTAAAAACTAGCAAATTACACACACATGCAAAAACTCTGCTAAAAGAACATTAGTAGGGTTGCAAAGTCAAGCCAGAGGTTAGGAAATGCAGAATTAAGGTTGTGCAACCTTAATTTGGCCATCTTGTGTACATGCATATGATCGTCTTTACATGATCACATACCATTTTTCCATAGGGCTTCTGTCTTATTCTGTGTACAGGATGGACCTGCTCTGGGGAGGAATCAGGGTTGTGTAATAAAAGAGATTGTCTGTAGAATCTCTGCCATATTTATTGAAGAAGTTGAAAGGTGTGTAATGAATGAGGGGGGATTGCAGGAACAAAGAGGATGGGTCTTATGGTTAAAGCAGTTGAATGCTGCCTTGAGAATTGGTTTATATCCCTTCCCCTGCCACAGAGCTCCTAGGTGATGCTGGGCAAGTTGCTTAAACCTTTCTTTTCACGGGTGGTCAGTAATTGTGTTTCTCATTTTCTGGGTGCCTGACTTGAGACCCCAGGGTCTGATTTGTATAGGTTCTGAGCACTAACACCTGCAACTAAAGTCATTGGGAGCTGTACTTTGAAAAATATAAAGTGATGTAGAATGCTAAGTTAGCTGAAAAAATCCGTTTCTAGAAGTCTCAAATTGAGCACCCAGAATTAGTGAACACTTTTTGTTTCTCTCTGCTTCAGTTCCCCATAGGTAATATGGGTATGATAACCCCTCATTTCACAGGCTGTAATGAAAATGAATGTGAAGCACTCAGATACTGTAGTAATGAGCGCCATAGAAAAGCCCATGAGGAAATTGATAATTCTGTCTTTAGAGCAGGGTTTAATTAGTGTGCAGTAAAGAAGGCATGCGGGCACACAATGAACAATGAGGAGAAAACAGAATATTGAAACTACTCTTTGTGAGCACTGTCCATTCTGTGCACTGAATGAGGCAATGATGTAGTCTATTTCAAAAAGACCTAGTTTGTATTAACATAGTCATCTTTTAGTTCATGCCAGCAGGGTCTACACAGGGTAGTTAGAATGCAACACGTTAGAGTGCTCTACAGTTCATACCCCCATAGACTGGACTGCGGCACTTCTAAAAGATAAATCTTATTAGAATAGGATAGAAATTGTTATTTAATGACAAAATTATTTAACATAAGAACGGCCATACTGGGTCAGACCAAAGATCCATCTAGCCCAGTCTCCTGTCTTCAGACAGTGGCCAATGCCAGGTGCTTCAGAGGGACTGAAGAGAACAGGTAACCATCAAGTGATCCATTGCCTGTCACCGATTCCCAGCTTCTGGCAAACAGAAAAATTGATTTTAAAAAAATTGATTTTCTTTAAAAACCATAGATGATTTTTCCAACTTATTTTAATAGGAAAAAATTAATAGCATCTAGGTACATGATAAATTTCCCTTACCATCATCTATTTCATGAGTATGGAGATTTATATAATCTTTTTTTCCCTCTGTAAAATGTTAATTTTGTTGGATAGGTCACTGCATTGGGACTCAGGACCCTTGAGTTCAGTTCCTGGCTTTTGTTGCTGGCCTGCTGAATGACCTTGGGGAAAGACACTTCCCCTTCCTGTGCCTCAGTTTCCCCATCTATAAAATGGGTGTAATATACAGATTGGCTTTGTAAAGCGCTTTGAGATGTACAAGTGAAAAGTCTTATATAAAAGCTAGTCGTTATTATTTATTATTAAGGCTGTCAAGCGATGAAAAAAATCTCGATTAATTGCACGATTAATCGCACTGTTAAACAATAATAGAATACCATTTATTTAAATATTTTGGGATGTTTTCTACATTTTCAAATATATTGATTTCAATTACAACACAGAATACAGAGTGTACAGTGCTCACTTTATATTTATTTTTGATTACAAATATTTGCACAGTAAAAAACAAAAATAGTATTTTTCAATTCATCTAATACAAGTATTGTAGTGCAATCTCTTTATCATAAAAGTTGAACTTACAAACATAGAATTGTGTTTTTTTAAAAAAACAAAAACCTGCATTACCATGTAAAACTTAGAG